CGCTGTCTCGGAATAACTTTACGTCTTACTTGATTGTTAGCATCCATTATACCCTTCGTAGGTACTAATGTCATTGTGAAATTTCAAATTTCGAATGTTGCAAAACTCTTTACCTACAGTACTTTACCTACTGTACTTGTTGAATATGTTGAATGTTGAATATTCGAAACGCCGTAAATTAAATTTATTATGAAATTTACCTTGGAAACCTGATTTTCGAAATTTTTATTCCTATAAAAATAATGTTTGGCCAATTGTGAAAAGCAATAAGAAAATTGTTAATAAAAAATACTCTCTGGCCTTCAGTGAAACTTGTTTCAAAATATAGAGGTTTGTGCATATTAACCTCATTTGCACTTATTTGTATAAAAAACGTATTATACAAGGTTAAGTAAATAAGAATGATGGTAAAGTTTTATGATTTTCGGACCCTGAGAGCATGGATGAATGAGCAGCGCCGAGCGTCACTCAGTGCGTGATGGAGAGGCTGGAAACTTGAGAGCTCTTTATGAAGTTCAATAATTCTGATAATTTATTCGTTGGGCAGTCATTTTGGGGCCGTGATGAAAAAAATCCCGTACTGTATGCCGTGATTTGGGATTTTTTAATCACTGAGATGTTCTAATGACAATTGTGATGAGGAAATTTCAATAATAGAAACTTGTAACACCAAATTTAAACGTATAATGTTGAGAGTAATTGACTGAGGAAATCATTTTTGAAACAAATTATGTAATTAAACCGTACGATTTTAAATTTTAACGAACGTAAAAACCATACGCTAGATAGCTCTAGAAAGCGATCGATGAATGTAAATTTTTATTATGAAGATTTATTTAAGAACAATAATTAATTACCTTTCAATTATTTGGTAACCGATGATCAACGTTAGTTTTTTTCAATATACTGGCAAAGCGACTATACAGAGTGACTACAAAGACTACAATTTAATATACAGAGTGACTAACACACAAACAATTCGTTGATGATCCCGTAGTATCGGTTATGTCATTCGACAAAAATACAAAAGAAATACAAAAACGTAAGAAATATCTTATCGCGTCTTAAGTACTTGACTTTAGATAAAGAAGAAATTGCTTCGATGCTATTTTAGTATAAAATTTTTGATATGGTATAATATGTGAGAACGGCTTAGCAAAGGAGTTCGCGACTCAGAAATGCGTTTCCATAGAAAAATTGTTGCAAAGCTGATTCCTGGCTCAAAACGGACTCCCGACTCAAAAATTCATGAATTCAAAGTCTCGAAAATACAGTCGCCGTTCAGAGAATAGACGTTTTCCACACCAAAAAATAAAACCACCCTGAAAGGTGAACGCACTATTTCCCAGTTCCGTTGCGCAGTTTTACTTGCGGTCTTGAAAGTAAATATTTTCCACACCTGTATGGTATCACAGACTGAGTTAGGGTGGAATAATAGAAATGGAAGTATATTTATTCATGATTGAACCAGCATGGTAACTTGGTCAGTTAAAGTATATCTTGGAATGGATTTTACAAAGATAAACTTGTAAAATCCAATAAAATTGCACCTTGTTTTAACAGGCTGAAATTCAAGGATAGTACGTAAAGTTTACGTCATTTTTGGGCGAAAAACTAGCCCTTTCCAGCTGCGATGTCATCCACTCCAGACTGGGATTGGTTGGTGAGATTGTGATGTCATCCTCACCAGACCGTGGTTGGATGTGCCAAAATATGGTATTTTTACGGCTCAATTTAATATCTATCTAGAATTCCACACTGCCAGTGGTTTATGCCCAATATATGACTACTTGTTCACATATTAACCTCAAGAAAGTCCACATTGGGATCAGTTTCACAAAACAAATGTTGTCAAAGTAAATAAAAACGCTTGTATACATACCTTAGTCTCGATGTCAGCAATTTGACTTGACCTGATTGACAGTACGATGTTGAAGGTTGTTTGCTGTATATATATATATACCTGTTCATAGGTCAATAATTTTTACCAACACAACACATGCACATCTCACGTATGATAATCATTTTGCCGAAATAATTTAATTCTAATTCTTCTCGTGAATGACTTGCTACATGTTTAACATTTTTCACAAAATAATGGAGAAGTTTCACTGTGCACAACTTGCACGAGCCAGAGGCAGAAACTGAATCTGAATCTCGGAACTTCCATGGCCTCGCATAAAATTATGAATGTAGTTTCATAGGAATATAGTAATCATGAATATAGAATATCAGTATAGAAGAATATAGAATATAGGATATCATGAATATAGGTTCATAAGAATTACCAAATATATAATTTATATTTAATTTATTTCAAATTGTTCTAAATAAATTGTTATTTGTGAAATTTACCATTTGTAAGAAACGTCTGAAAATGTACGGTACGGGGTATCTTTCATTTTTTATGAAAATCAATCTTCGAAGTGCGACTAAGTTTCATTTGTTCGGAAGCTAATGATTGGGTGTCTAGCTTAGTGGCTATCACCGGGAGAAATATTTACCATTTATTTCTATCCAGTAGCCCTGTTATGGTAAATCGGCCTACCAAGATGACATAGGAGTTTACATAAGACTTAATGTGATGTAAGATGGGAATTTATATTCGCAAGAGGGAGAGTTTTGGAAACAGAATAGAATTATTTGCTTCGAAATTGTGTCATTCATGTGATGTGAAAAACCCTACTCATTGGCTTTTTTTCACATGAAAAATTCTACATTCGTAACTTGGGTCATAACTTGTTGGGCGGAAGCTCCAAGTCTGAACGTTGAGACTGCAGCTCTCAAATATTCGTGCAAAAATGCTTGATGTGTCTCGACTGCAAACTTATAGCTAGAAAATTTGCTATGTCGTATTTTTAATTTAGGGGCTATAGACATATTTTCACAGGCATTTAATTATTCTATGAATAAAATGCATAATTTTACACTCACGTATAGCTAAGTTTGGAATGAAATGATATGTCCACCCTCTAAATTCGACCCTATATAGTGCCCCGTATTCATATATCGCTGTCAAGGTTTTTTGCTCACGTCTAGTTATTAAAATTGGACGAAAAAATAACTTAATTTCTGTTCAAAACTGTAATCCACAAAGCTAGGGAAATATTACGATCTTGAAACGCCGGACGCCGGGCTTATGTGTATTTCGACGAGATTTTATTTATTTCTATACACCGTACACATTATGTTAGGGTTGATGAATGTGACAAAAGCCTGTTAAAAATTTGACAAATGAAGAATATTCCGAATTAAGTTCGAGTAAGCTTATATAAGATCGACTTGAATGTAGGTTGCAATAGGTAACCTACATCCCCAAGTTTATTGTGTGGAACGAGAAAGTAAATTTTATCTAAATAAATTTGTTGATTTATTCTGTGAGTTAGTTAGATTCTTGTACATAAGAAGGTAAAATCGATCTACATTTTTTCATTCAATGGGTTAAATAGTTATACTTTGATGTACATATGCTGGTAAAGCTAACCTTCATTCACACACACGTGAACGGACAGCTGTCCTCGTATGTCTCTATGATAGTAAAAACAAAATACGATATCTCGTGGCCACTCTGGGGCATTCACCAGTGGTCACGATGTCACGTATAAGATAACGGCACCATATCTGTCTTATCTCTCGCTATCGCTAGAACAATGTTAACATAACGAAGGCTCGCGCTGATAGCCTTGGCTAGTTGCAATTCGCCCGTTGCTCTATGCACTCTATTTAGCAAAAGATAAACGTGGTTATTTTAAGACTGTTCATTAACTTACAGGGCATTAACCTTCAGAATTTAAATCCTATAATAGAAAGTGTTATTTTCGTGTATGCCCTGAGATGTTGTCAGTATCCTTCTCATATCCTATCCAGAAATCCTTATACATACGTGATCTGGGACAGAGACATGCCTCACATGTCCCATTCTCAAGGGACAGACATGCTTCTTATGTTACCGCAAATACAATGGTCAAAAATACCGCAGTGGAGCGTGGACTTATTTGGAGCATGGAGATGTTCAGTGCAGCATGGAGATGTTCAATGCAGCATGGAGCTGTTCAGTGCAGCATGCAGATGTTCAGTGCAGCATGGAGATGTTCAGTGCAGCCTGGAGCTGTTCAGTGCAGCATGCAGATGTTCAGTGCAGCATGGAGATGTTCAGCTGAGCATGAAAATGTTCAGTGGAGCTTGGAGGGGTTCATTCTGTTCAATGAATCATGTAAATAAATTTAGTGGAGCATGAAAAAGTTTAGTGGAGATTGAAAAAGTTTGGTGGAGCATGAAAAAGTTTAGTGGAGCATGAAAAGTTTAGTGGAGATTGAATAAGTTTAGTAGAGCATGAAAAAGTTTAGTGGAGAAAATGTTCTATGCAGCTTGTAGATGTTCAGCGTCTTTTGAAAATGTTCAGAGGAAACTTATGTGCGTATAATTTTCCTAGATAATTCGAAATTTTCTGACTTGGAAAATTTTTACTGAATTCAAATGCTCCTCGTCGGAAGTCTTAATTTTCTAGTGATTAATTAGTAAAAAATCTTTTAATTTCTCCACACGAAATTTAAGAAGACAAATGCTCGCATGTAAATGGAGCAGAATTTCAAAAAATTCAACCAAAGGAAATTACTGAAACGTGTGTCTGAAATATTTGCAAGTGTTCTACGTTTGTTAATCATGAATAATTCGGCCGAAAATTTAGAAATCGAATTTCGTTTCACGAAATATTTACAAACACTCAAATTTGCGCATTCGTGTATTGAAGAAACACGACAGGAAACGATCGTATTATTGTACCATGATTATTTTGGAAGAGCTGTTTTCCTTCACCGATGAAAAGAAATAAAGAGACATAAAACGTACATGCTCTAAAGAAAAAGTATTTAGATTATGCATTTCAATTCCGACCAAATTCATATAGAAAAGATTATTCATATTCTTTTTCCTTTATCCATTAACTTTGTAATATTAGTGCTTATTCATTTTTCCCAGTCTCTATCTGTGCGCACGATTGATCATTGATTAGCCGAAAATATCATGAACTTGCAATGAAAAATTAATTGAAAAAGTGAAATGTTTGGTCGGATCAGAAAAAAGGTGAGTTCTGTTGTTCGTAATACAAATTTTATGTTGGATTTACTGAAGAATATGCCCTCAAATATGTTTATTTGATGGAACAATCAATATATTATATTTCAAGATAAAATATAATATATTGATTAATAGAATTTTTAGTACATTTTATTAACCAAACAAAAAAGTGAACTGCCGTCAAGCAACACAATGCGTTACTGCAATATATCTGTCATTTAAGAGAATATTAAGGAGTTCAATGCAATGTTACCGAATAAAAAGAAATATTTGCAAATTCAAGGAAATGTAATAAATAAAACGATAAAACGATATAAAAAAATGTGTACACAAATCATAGAAAATATTAATAAAATTTGGATAAATTATTGAATTTATTTAAATGTTGTTGTATATATAGGGTGTAATACACGGATAACAAGTGTTCGGGCGGCACGACCAGCATAACTTGGTTGAAAGGCCCTCACACGTGTAACACCGCTAAAAGACTCCCGGAACAACCCGCCACTGACTGACGACACATTGTCACAGCGAGAAATTCGCTAAATTAAACATGAGAAAACATGACAAAACCTAATGAATTAACGAGGAAATACTTAAATAACCAAAATCATATTAAGATACAAGGCTAGCGTGAGACAGGCGAACTCACAATAATACAATATACAAATGTTAAAAATTTACACCTTACAACAATGTTATTTAAAAGAACAATTATGAATACGCATTTAATATGCACGACATTATTTGGTAACGAGCCCATAAGTAATATGGCCATAAAATTAAACAAATATTCGAAAAATAAAAACTGCATAATGGACTCGGGCATTGAATTTTGGTACAAATAAAAATGAAAAATATCCATGAAACGAAGAAACTTTTATTTGACCCCAAAAGATGTGGAGGAAAAAGTCATAGTTATATCAAAAAACGTTGTAGTTGCTCACTCTGCAGGAAAATAGGAGGATATCGGTATAAGTACATATATTAAGGGTTAATTTTAACAATAAAGGAATGAGTAACGGTTACAAAAGTTTGCAGTCTGCAATTTAGTAGCCGGTTATGACATTGATGCGGCTGGGTTTGGAGGCCAGTTGCACGGAGCAGCGGATAGGTGCTAGGTGGATTCTTAGGTGGACTCGTATCTGGCAAGTAGGCTACAGATACTCAGATTGAGAAATCTATCGAACAGTACATTCATGAGATTGTTCAATGCTGCCAGTATAATATAGTAATCAAAAGTATAAACAAATTTATTACCTCTATATAGCTCTTTTAATGGAACTATATAAAAGAGTTCTCATAGAGAACTATTAGAATGAAATAAGGGAAAACAGTTTGAGGTGTGTCCACTCGTTGACGGCCTTTCAAGCAAAATCCACCAATCATAGGACAAGAAAATAGAGCGTAAGCACTTACGTTAATTTAGCGAGTTTTGAAAGTATGGACCCTGGGCCATACTTTCAAAACACGCTAAGTGAACGTAAGTACTTACGCTCTATTTTCTTGTCTATGATTGGTGGATTTTGCTTGAAAGACCGTCAATGATTGGCTGATAAACTTACGATCTCTTAACTTTTTTTGAAAGTATAGGCCGTACAGTAAATTTAAACGAGAACGCAAGGGACGCAAACATTTTTAACTCAAAATCAGTAACAAAAAAAGCAAGATTTAGCGTAAGTAGCAAATGGTTATATTCGCACAGTCGTAAGGTTAGTACAACAATAACTTGACTTAGCTAAAGACGATGTGTAATCCTTCCTCTTTATAAGAGACAATCGGAAGTATTATTATGAGGTCAATGAATAATAAATTTTGATACTAGGGCTTCATTGTGACGTAGCTTCATTTTAAAACATAATACCTATAAGCAATTTTTAAAATGACATAATTTAACTTTCCGATACATGTGGTGGGATCCGCAAAAAGTTCCTCCGGGCAGCGCATGGAAAAATCATAACAATTTTCCATGCAGATAAATTTAATTATATACCTACTGATTATAAATTATATTACCATACTTGCATAGTGACTGAGCCCAGAGAAGTTCACAGGCAACACCATTTCTCAAAAGAGACGCGATATTTAAAACAAAAACTGTTCTGGCTGTTCATTAAAGTCATCGTCTTGGACTAAGGAGAAAAATGACCGGCTCTCCATTCCCCAGCGGAAACATGCCACTCTGCGCACCGTGGAGTTCGGGCAGCGGGACCAGTTCTGCACGCTGCCTCTGCACGACCCAGAGCTGAGGCAGAGCAAGTTTGCCTCCAACAGAGTGGTCACCTCCAAGGTTTGTGAAGATGGTAAACATGTGTTTATGTTTACTTGACTGTATTGTATGAGAAATATACAGGGTTATTATTAAATTTTACTGTTTAATTGACTGCATCGTATGAGGAGAAATAAAAATGGTTATTCTAAATGATGGACCTAATTCAATAAATTCGTACATATTTTAGTATAAATTCGAGATAAATAATTTATACACCAAAGGGAAGAGGAAGATTCAAGTTTTTTTTATTTAAAAATGTTCAATATGTCCGTCCCCCTTCTGCTGTATGACAAGCATCTAAAAAGTAGCCAAACTAGTCCCACACGATAAAGCATATCTTCTGTTACTGGGTGCACCGTAGCAGTGATACGGTTCTTCAGATCAACCAGAGTTGCTGGTAGAGGCGGGGCGTAAACAGAGTTGCTGGTAGAGGCGGGACGTAAACAGTGTTGCTGGTAAAGGCGGGACGTGAACAGAGTTGCTGGTAGAGGCGGGACGTAAACAGAGTTGCTGGTAGAGGCGGGACGTAAACAGAGTTGCAGGTAGAGGCGGGACGTGAACAGAGTTGCTGGTAGAGGGGGGACGTAAACAGAGTTGCTGGTAGAGGCGGGACGTAAACAGAGTTGCTGGTAGAGGCGGGACGTAACTGGTAGAGGCGGGACGTGAAGAGAGTTGCTGGTAGAGGGGGGACGTAAACAGAGTTGCTGGTAGAGGCGGGACGTAAACAGCTTCCTTGACATAACCCCATAAGAAATAATCACATGGGGTGAGATCAGGTGATTCTCGGTGGCAGGAGTGTAAAGCCTGATCTTCGTTTCCTATGCGTCCTACCCAACGCTCAGGAAGTGACTGCATATGTGCATTGGAAGTGACTTGAACCTATTAAAATGCGCCCAAACCTGTGTTTAAATATTTAAAAATTGTAAATCTTTCTCTTTCCATTGGTGCATATATTATTTAATTTGAACCCGTAATTAAATAAATAAAATTTTTAAATTGGGTCCATCATTTAGAATAACCCTGTACATTGATTTGTATACAACGAGGCCTGTTGGTACAGTACTGTTTTTAAATTAAGCCGCCGCAGCGCTGACCGTTTAGTGCATGTCGCCAAGCAGCCACATCTGTTGAGAAGCCACAGACGCCACTACTAAACCATCCTAAACCATTTTAAGTTATTACTACTACTACTAAACCATTTTAGGTTATTTTAAAATGCTTCCACCTGTTGAGAATCCAGCAAAATGCGAAGTGCGAGCATCTCTCTGTGCTCCAGGCTCCAAATTCGTTGACATTTATCGCCAAATTAATGAATTGTATGATGAAAACATTATGAGTGATGGAATGTTGCGGAGATGGGTTAGGGTCTTGGAAGATAGGCGCGCAAATACACTGTTAGAAAAAACGGTGAAAAAACGGTCCCACTGGCATTCTAGTGGCCGGTCGCCCCGTAAAAATAAACTGTTTCGCCGTTTTTATCAGACGTTTTACGGATTTTTAGTGTTAAATTAGAATAAAAACGGCGACAAGGTGTTTCTTTTCACGTGCCGACAGGCCACTGAAACGATGGTAATACCGTTAACGGTAATTTTTCTAACAGTGTATTCATGTTGAGGAATGAAGTGGGAAGTCTTCAGTTAATTATTACCGATTATCTGATGGAAATAGTGGACTGTAAAATGAATGAGAACAAACGATTCACATTTTTGCCCTTAGCTGAAGATCTTCCCGCTGTCTTAAGAAGTTATCTTCACGAAATTATCTAATCAGATTGTCACATTAGGCGGCGTTTTTGACGATGACATACGAAATCTTATCCCAAGATATGATAACTACCTTAATATTAATTGGAACTTTGGAATAAATTTACTTGCTGTTTTTAAGTCGAAACGGTACATACTTTAGAAGCATGCCCCTTATATGTATTACTATAAATTATTATATAATTATAAAAATTGTACATTTAGATATATATGTTTATACGGCAATAAAGATCCGTAGTCCGAAAGACCACCTCACATATAATCTTCACAACAATACTCTTAGGCTAACCAACAATGATTACTAGATAATCCTAATCAAATTTGAGCATAAATAAGTACGTGGAAATGGAGTTTGCATCTGTTAATTTGATTAATTTATTAACTAAAAGTGTTTTCGGCGGTAGCTAATGTAAGATATATAACGTCGAAAGTGAAATAAATGAAGATTTGCATTTAGGCATCGCTTTACTTATGAAGTAGAAAGAACATTTCTTCCGAAATAAAATTAATTTAGTCCTCGCAGTAGGACAAGCATTGTGTTAGAAGTTGAACAAACAAAGTCTACGACGTAAAATAAACATAGCCTGTGATGTGAGTAGTGGGAATTTATAAAATAACAAAGATTCATGTACTTTAAACACCAAAATTTAGAAATAAATTGTAATATAGGCAAAGAATCTACCGCAATTAATGATGAGGGCATAGAGTTAGCTTTAATATTATGGGTGCATTGCAACGATGAGGCGGAACTGGAAATAGAGATATGTATTCGTAATTGACCGAATACAAGCAGCCTGAAAGAATCAAACTTTAGAATTTACAAGCATATTCAAAGCTCTGAGTTAAACACAAACTTCAAAATACATAAATTTATTAAAGTGTGTTGTAAATTTTTTAAAAAGTTACTAGACATAATTTTTCGAGTAAATGAACTCTGTTGCATATTCTATGGGTAGCTCAAGTAATCCTTTTGTTGTTTCCAGTACACGCTGCTCACGTTCCTGCCCAAGAATCTTTTCGAACAATTCAGAAGAATGGCGAACTTCTACTTCTTGGTGGTCGCCATCGTACATGTGAGTTTACATATATTAGGAGTAAAGGGTATAGATAAATATGTTTACGTATTACCCATGACACTAGTCACATGTATTAGTAAACAAACATACGTATTACAATAGTCCCAATTGATTTTATGGTAAATGAGTGTACGTATCACTAGTGTAAATAGTCACGTGTGTGAATAAATATGTATGCGTACTGTCCATGTGAATATTAATGTGTTTTAGTTAATCTATACAAGTATTATTCAGCTAAAGAGTTACGTGTATGAGTAAATGTGTTTACTATTTAAATGTATGTACCATGACGAGCTGGCATGTACCATTCGATGGAAACAATGCCGAAGTAAAGTACATATAGAAATAATATTTTTAAACTCTAATACTACTGTACGATTTCAATACAAGAGAATTGAAGCCAATCACCCTTTATTCCCAGTGGTCCTTGTGCTTGTGCTTTTACTAATTTTTTTCCAGTTATCAGTATAAGTTATCCTGACAGATTCTACCGCAATTAAACATATTCGACGGAAGCAATGACAATAAAACTTAAATACAAAAATTTTGTTTAACTTTCGGACAATAGGCATTAAACTACAACTAAAATATTTAATTTGATTTAAATATCATGCAGTTGTTGACAATCTTAACATAGCTAAAATTAGGACTATTCTGCTAATTTTATTCTTATTTAAATTTATTTTAAATTAGCATTAATTTTTTTCAATTAATAATTTCAATTACAGGATACAAGCAATAAAAATGAAAATGAAATTGAGAAATTGTTAAATATACTGGACACTGGCAATCACAATACGATTATAATGGAATTTTTTTTAACTATTGAACTTATGCAATCGGAAAAAGGCTGATAGCTGCTAGCGGTTTCAGCGTTTATTCTTAACAGGTCTGTCGCTGATTCCTAACATCGCAGAACATAAATAAATAGCACTCCACTAATAAATAACACTCCACTAATAAATAACACTCCACTAATAAATAACACTCAATATTAATAATTGTACCAAAATAAATATCAACAACGATTACAGTTAAGCATCGACTCCCCGATCTCGCCCCTGACGATTATCCATTTGCATATAACTACATATAATTTACATATAACTACATATAATTAACATTTTACTACAACAATTCCAGTTGAGCATCGACTCCCCGATCTGCCCCCTGACAAGTATACATTTGCATATAACTACATATAATTTACATTTAACTACAACGGTTACAGTTAAGGATCGACTCCCCGATCTCCCCGCTGACGAGTATCCATTTGCATATAACTACATATAATTTGCATATAACTACATAAAATTTACATTTTACTACAACAATTCCAGTTGAGTATCGATTCCCCGATCTCACCGCTGACAAGTACACATTTGCATATAATAATGAATGTTTGTTGCATTCGAAACGTCGATAATAAATAAGAATTACTTCCTGAAACTTGCCTTTTAATCTACCGTCATCCGAAGAAAAGTTCCACTCACTGATAATATAAATCAACGAATTCTCTGGTCATCGACCGCACGTGTGTAAACAAGTAAATCCTGACATCTAATAATAATTTACATATAACTACATATAATTTGCATAAAACTACATATAATTAACATTTTACTACAACAATTCCAGTTAAGCATCGACTCCCCGATCTCCCCCCTGACGAGCATCCTGCCGCTGTTGTTCGTGGTGAGCGTGACGGCAGTCAAGCAGGGCTATGAGGACCTTAAGCGCCATGCCGAGGACGACAAACTCAACCATGCACCAACCATCGTCGTCAGGGACGGCAAGGAAAAGGTGTGCGATTTTTTCTTTTATAAAAATTTGTGTAATTTTTATATTGAAAAATGTAAGTAATTTTATTTGATTTATAGCGCCACACCGAGGATGACAAACTCAACCATGCACCAACCGTCGTCGTCAGGGACGGCAAGGAAAAGGTGTGGGATTTTTTCTTCTATAAAAATTTGGGTAATTTTTATGTTGAAAAATGTAAGTAATTTTATTTGATTTATAGCGCCATGCCGAGGACGACAAACTCAACCATGCACCAACCATCGTCGTCAGGGACGGCAAGGAAAAGGTGTGCGATTTTTTATTCTTTAAAAAACTTGGGTAATTTTTATATTAAAAAATGGAAGTAATTTTATTTGATTTATTTTAAAATAAATCAGAATTATTCTTGTTATTTCGACTTACATGTAATAATAGAAAAAATTTAGTTCACATATTATCACAAATATCATAATCACGAAATATTGATAAACAATTTCCCTGAAAAAAATCGCAAACGACTTATTTTTTCCTGTGTGTTTTGATTTTGGCATTAAAAAATTTCTAATTCATATGAAAATCAAACGCAAATAAATACAGTGGTAATTATTGTACCCATAATATAGTTATTAGGTGAGGCTTGCCTAATTTATCATAACTCATTAATATTTTACCATCAAACACCACTCCAACGAACACTAAATTATCTCCAATAAATTCCATGATTTCTAGGCCGAACACCTCAATAGATCCACCAATCACAACTCCATCAAACACCATAGCATCTCTATCAAACACTACTCAAACAAATAACACAACACTAAATTAATATCTCTAAACGTAATATTGTATAACAGTCCGCGTAGTGTAATATCATATAATATCTTTCCAAAGCACCACAATATCACCAATATATATTTCATATTGAATACTGGATAATATCTCTTCAAATAAACATAATATCTCCATAATATCTAATATTAAATTATGTAAAATATCTCTTCAAATAAACATAATATCTCCATAATATCTGATAAGTAACATTGTATAATATATCAATACAAAACATCACAATATCTTGACGAGAACAACACGCAGTGTGTATATCACGCAGGAGCCTCCAATTGACGCAGGACAAAGGCTCTGCGCCGGACTAATATTACCTAGCAAGTTTATTGAGCTTACGCTTAATTAACTGTATTGGCAGCCAGCCTCTTAGCTAATGCCGCCCCCTGCAGTATAACCCTTGCTGGGAGCTTTATGTTCTGTGAAGCAAGGCAAATTAATATTGCTCACGCCATCGCAACACGAATACAATGCTTATGTAATAGGTATACAATGCCTTTGCAACAGGTTTGCAATAACCGCAACAGGCATGCAATGCCTAGGCAACAGCAAAATTATGCCTTTGAACAGGTATGCAATAATTCGCAACAGGTATATAATTACCCCTAAACATGTAATTTTCTACAGGAATACGAAGAGTTTTCACCGGATGCATCGTTCCCTTAGCATCATATGTCACATTGTAGCCATGCTATTTGCAACCATAATCTCTGCTAATCAGAATGTCTAGCAATTTGTACAGCCTGTGTCCCCTGGATTAATACGCAGACGATCAGAAGTAAGTCTCCCTAATTAATACGCAGTCCCTCAAAAGTGAGCCTCCCCATTAATTCACTGACTATCAGAAGTGAATTTCCATAACAATACGCAGACTATCATACGTAAAGAGATGGCGATGAGGAATTAGGTTGAGGGTTTAGGCCTAATAAAATAAATAAAAATCCCGAAAAACTATTTTTGTCGAGTGATGCAGACCATCAAAAGGAAGGAGCTTGTGGTGGGTGACGTGGTGAGGTTGAAAGCTAATTAATACACCGACCACAAGAATCGTGAGTCTCCCTACTAATACGCAGACCATCAGAAATGAGGAGCTGGTGGTGGGTGATGTGGTTAGGGTGGGAGCCAATTAACATACCTATCACAGGAATTGTGTCTCCCTACTAATACGCAGACCATCAGAAGTATGTCTCCCTACTAATACGCAGACCATCAGAAGTGAGGAGCTGGTGGTGGGTGACGTGGTTAGGGTGGGAGCCAATTAACATACCGACCACAAGAATCGTGAGTCTCCCTACTAATACGCAGACCATCAGAAGTGAGGAGCTGGTGGTGGGTGATGTGGTGAGGGTGGTGGCCAATTAACATACCTATACAAGAACTGTGTCCCCCTACTAATACGCAGACCCTCAGAAGTATGTCTCCCTACTAATACGCAGACCATCAGAAGTAAGTCTCCCTACTAATACGCAGACCGTCAGAAGTGAGGAGCTGGTGGTGGGTGACGTGGTGAAGGTGGGGGCGGACGAGCAGATACCGTGCGATATGCTCCTCCTGCTCACATCAGACGGTGCGCACAAATGCTCTGCCACGACCGCCAACTTGGATGGAGAGACAAACGCTAAGGTGCACGACTTTGATCCCTTGCTTATTAACGTAATTTGTGTATATTGTTTATTAATTTTACATAAATTTTCAAATTTGTTTTATTTTTCAATGGGATTCACAATAAATTCGTGCTCTTGTTCGCAATAAAACGTGAATTTGTGTATATTGTTGATTAATTTTACATAAAATTTTTAAATTGTTTGATTTTTCAATGGGGTTCAAAACAAATTCGCAAAATTGTTCACAATGAAATTTTCTTTGCCACTGTTGTATCACTATTGTCAGGTTGTTCCAAGTAAATTTTTATTCGCGTGTAGTTTACTGATAAAATAATTTTTTATTGTCGTAATAGATAGAGCATGAGAGTAAACTTTTACAGGACAACCGTTCTACAGAATAAGATTTAGGAGAGAGAGATTTCAGATCAAAGAGATTATCAGATCTCAGAGATTATAAATTATATATTCAGTGAGGCTGCTTGGATACCATGCTTTAAAATGTTGCCAAAGAAAGTTAGCATATCTAAACTGAATTTCCTATGAATGTTCATAAAATTAATGGAATTTTTATTTTGAGTATATTGTACTATTACGGTAAATTATAATCCTATCGAAAACTTTGTATGAATTTCATAGCAATTTGAATTATTCAAATACAATATCACAAATTTTTATTATAGCTACGTCCATTACCCATTTCTCATCAGATGTACGAACAGCCAGAGTCGCTCAAGGAACTAACGAGCTTCCGAGAAGTAGCCAGCCTCAGTGGCATCGTTCAGGCTCAGGTCAGCGTTTAGCGAGTCTCGTCGAATATTGAAACAAAATATTTTATTCGAGTTTTTCAATTTTAGTTTGGGGATCAGTTTTCGGTTACCACGCTAGCGTCATAATCATCAAACCTTAGAGTTCTTAACTTTAATCTTTAAAAATCTTAAATCTCTTAATATGTAAATTGGATTATTTGCCAACACTAATAAGAATTTGAATATAAATGTCTTACCAGACTCTGTATAAGTTCATTCTGCTTGGGCTGAAATGAATAAAAATTTTGTACATTGATTTCAGGACTTGCAGAAAATGCGAATTTTAACTTGTACCTTAAATACTTTTTTTTGCAGTAGGCAAAATCCATAAATAGGCCTACGTTGAATTATTTTCTGCATTAGACATCAAAGGAATTAAATATCACTAACAACAATTAAATTATATTTACAGGCTCCTCACCCGAATTTATACGACTTTAAAGGACAGATGGAGACCCTGGACAGCCGTGCGGCCGTGGCCAGTTGCTCTCTGTCGACTGAACACCTCCTGCTCAGGGGGTCGAAAATGGTTGGTCACCAACACATATACGGTAAGTAAATTGAGGAAGCTCACGTATTATGCAATATACTGAAAACAACGGCAGTGGCAAGCCGTTCCCTGTCGACTGAACACATATACGGTGAGGGAATTGATGAAACTCACGTATGACCATATAATATACTGAAAACAACGGCAGTGGCAAGTCGTTTCCTGTCGACTGAACACATATACGGTGAGTTAATAGATGAAACTCATGTATGTCCATACAATATACATAACACAATAGTTTAATACGGTAGTGGCAAGCCGTTCTTTGTCGACTGAACACATATACGGTGAGTTAATTGATAAAGCTTACGTACGACCATACAATATACGTAACACACTGGTTTAATACGGCAGTGGCAAGCCGTTCCGTGTCGACTGAAAACATATACGGTGAGTTAATAGATGAAGCTTACGTACGGCCATACAATATACGTAACACAATAGTTTAATAAGGTATTGGCAAACCGTTTCTTGTCGACTGAACACCTATACGGTGAGTTAATAGATTAAGCTTACGTACGACCATACAATATACGTAACACAATAGCTTAATACGGTATTGGCAAACCGTTCCTTGTCGACTGAACACCTATATGGTTAATAAATTAATTTTTTTTCAGATTTCGGAGTTAAGATGTTGCCGCGCATTGTAATGTATACAATTAAATAGCCATTGTTTATGGTGATAGTGTAAATTGATTATCAATTAAAAGTGTTTGCATAGATTATGAATTGGGCCTTGACAATACGATGATATCCTACCCATAAAATATCCAAATGTAATCTATTAAAAAAGTGGGATATATAAACAGAATGAAATTTAAAGACAGTCTATTTCTTTCTTGTCACGAATATTTATTGCATACAAATGAATGAATTGTCTTTGTTTATCAGACACTTAATTTCAAAACTGTTTTGTATGTGAGGATAAAAAGGCCAAAACTTAACAAATGTTCCCGCAGGGCTTGTACTCTACACGGGCAAGGAAACAAAGATGATACTTAATACAAAGATGAAAACCGGAAAATTTTCCACCATTGAGAGGCAAGTAATTTAAACCCCCCCAAATTAAGAATTAATAAATAATGAAATAAGCCAGTTAAAATTTTCGTGAGCAATACATTCTAATTTATACGAATAACGTACGGTAATTTGTGAACCTTTCACCGTCAAAATTTTTAATTTACGGCGGAGATTATTCCGCATGGTGAAGTCTTAAACGATTGAATAATAATGACATACGAGCATGACATTAATCATGTGCGATTCCTTAATACCGGCCTACTTTATTGATAAAATAATCAATAAAAAATAATCTGAATTATTTTTCTATATTATAGGTCTGCATCATACTTATTAGATCTGATATATTTTATATTCCATCCCCATTCATTCTTCAATGGATTAATTCATTTGAGGTAATGAATTTCAGTTATAATTAATTCATGTCCACATTATATTATTTGAAATAATTTCCTAGTTCAAATGTTCAAACCAGGTTTAAATAAAGCATCTGTACAGGTCCATGAACACATACCTGCTGCTCTACCTGGTCCTAATGCTCTCCTGGATCGTGATCTGTACCATCTTAAAGTACCAGATGTATGGTAACGATAAGCTCGGTAAGTACCAGATGTACGGTAACGATAAGCTCGGTAAGTACCAGATGTATGGTAACGATAAGCTCGGTAAGTGCCAGATGTACGGTAACGATAAGCTCGGTAATTACCAGATGTACGGTAACGACAAGCTCTGTAAGTACCAGATGTACGGTAACGATAAGCTCGGTAAGATCCAGATGTACGGTAACGACAAGCTCTTTTTAAATACCATATGTACGGTAACGAAAAGTTCGGTAAGTACCAGGTGTACGGTAACAACAAGCTCGGTAAGTACCAGATGTACGGTAACGATAAGCTCGGTAAGTACCAGATGTATGGTAACGATAAGCTCAGTAAGTACCAGATGCACGGTAACGTCAAGCTCAGTAAGTACCAGATGTACGATAACGATAAGGTCGGTAAGTACCTGATGTATGGTAACGATAAGCTCGGTAAGTACCAGATGTATGGTAACGATAAGCGCGGTAAGTACCAGATGTATGGTAACGATAAGCTCGGTAAGTGCCAGATGTACGTTAAAGATAAGCTCGGATATTACCAGATATACGGTAACGACAAGCTCGTTGAGTACCAGATGTACGGTAACGATAAGCTCGGTAAGATCCAGATGTACGGTAACGACAAGTTCTTTTTAAATACCATATGTACGGTAACGATAAGTTCGGTAAGTACCAGGTGTACGGTAACAACAAGCTCGGTAAGTACCAGGTGTACGGTAACGATAAGCTCGGTAAGTACCAGATGTACGCTAACGACAAGCTCGTTAAGTACCACATGTACGGTAACGATAAGAGACTAGCCATGTATGCACCTACTGTTCAATGCAGAGTGTTTTTGGTTCCATTTGTGTGAGAAGAAGTCTTTTAGGTCCAACGATATCCTCTTGAATAGCTTGCTACCTGACAGTGCACCTCTAAAATTATCGTTATGTAGTTAAATGCCATCTATGTGCCCTCGTTGTTCTGGGATAACTGAATCTCATCTATGCCACATCCTAACGACTCCTGAGAGCAAATATCTTTACATGTTACGGTCAACCACACTGACGATATTCTAGGAGAAAATATGTTTCTACTTTGAACAAACGTCAAAAGCCCCTTAATTGCATCACCCTAATAAGAAGACCATACCAGAGGGCATGTGGAGCTACCGTATCATTTTCCCCTATTATAAGTACCCTGTACTAGCCGGCATGTGTGCTCCACATACCTTTTCCTCCTCTAATAAGTACCCTGTACCAGCCGGCATGTGAGGTAGCTGATACCCATCTCCCTCTACGTCACCCTAGGTGGGTAGCTGATACCCATCTCCCTCTACGTCACCCTAGGTGGGTAGCTGATACCCTTCTCCCTATACGTCAAACACTCACCCCATTTTTCGATAATATTTTTCCCATTTGTAAGCAATGCAAATCCCATTTGTAGTTAAAACTCGCCAATTTGTAGGTAACCTTCATCCCATTCTTAGGTAATACTTCACTCACTGTGCAAATAATTTAATTAACGATCAGAGCCTTCCAATTTATTGCGGTTTCTGAATAATGAGATCAGATATTAATAAAAATTGTTAGAAACATACCGTTTCATCGCAAATAATGGATATTATTTATCAAAATTTAAAATATAAGTACATGCAGTAATTTTACGTACTGGGAGAACTTCCGAGATGTATTTCTAATGGAAAATTTTATTCAAGTATGAAATTTTAACAGAAATGCAGAAATTCGGCGGCGCCATGTTCTTTGAGTGGGACGAAGAGATGAGGCAGGGGGAGGGGGGCGACCCTCCTAAGTGCAACACTTCAGATCTCAATGAGGAGCTTGGCCAGGGGGGGGGGGGGGGGCTGCCCCTCAGGTGAAACTCTCTTGATGTTAATGAGGAGCTCGGCAGTTTGAAGAGGGGGTTGGGGGGATTACCCCCCCAGGTGCAATAATTCTCATCCTAATGAGGAATTTAGCCCGCGGATGGGGCGGTGCGACAGCTGCTTGTGGAAGAGTTTTATAATCCTGTGCTGGTAGACACATAAAGTTATAAAGTTATAAACATAAGTTATAAAGGCCTTTATTGTTCGATTGTGATCCATGTCTTTAGTGCGGTGTTTTGGGTGGAGTCTGGCAGTTAGAGTTCTTTCAAAATTCATATTAAATGGGAATAAATATCCAAACTAAGTATACAGGTATACATAGATTCGAATAAGCCTTCAATCGGCATATTTCTAATATAGACGTATTAAATGCAGTTTATCACAGCTGAAACTTTCGCAAAGAAAACTGTACTCGTTCATACAGTATGTACAAAAATTTTCATCATGATAATAATAAACATTTCTTGAATTTTTCCAGTGGCCATCAACAATACTTCAATTCTTGGTCTTTGAATGTTTGTTCTTAGCCATGACTCGAGCGTAATCGTATATTTAACAATAATAAATAAAATTTAGAAAAAAATTTCAATTTAATGAACGGTTATGACAGTGAACGGTCATAACAATGACATTACATGAAATGGTCAACTTTAACGCGAGTGTAGCGAGTCTAGGGCAGAAGCTCACGCACACCGGAAAATATGTTAGAGTCAATAAGCTGGAAAATATGTTTATCTCGTCGGTGTGATAAGAAGAATTAGTTAATAATAAATATTTTGCGCAGATTGAGTACCTGTTCTGCGACAAGACGGGCACGCTAACGGAGAACCGCATGAGCTTCCGACGTTGCAGTGTGGGCACGAGGACGTACGTTCATTCCAGAGGGAGACTGTGGCACGGGCACGGGCAGCAACGCGAGCCCGTCACGTCCTTTACGGTGAACTGCGGGGTTGTATTTAATGGGAGAATATTAAGGCATTGCAAAACTGGGAGGCAAAAGAAAATTCTATGTATATGATGGTAAATATTCATTTAAATCAGAGGGCTTATGAAAAATTTTTCTTCATCTTGAAACGCGAGTTGAATTAAATTTCTAAGCTCCATTTTCAATGTAAGCATGAACAGCTCTTTGCTCCTGCAGTTAACGTGCGCTAGTTTTGCTCTTTTTACAAGTTTCATTATTATTATAACGACATTTATATTATTCTCATTGTTTGGGATAATTCTCAAATTGCAGTGAAAATCGATAACGGGCAAGAAAGGGCAATTCTACGGCTCTATAATAATATATATTTTTATTCATTTTTTAAAATATCGTGTCTATTCTGGCGTAATTTTCATACATAGGATGTTTTACGTAGACTTAATTTGCAGGGAGAAATGGTGCAGTTCTTCACAAGTCTGTGTCTATGCAACACAGTGCAGACGATGTTAACTGAGGCAGGCAGTAACCCTAGCTACGTCCCCGACGTCTCGTCTACTGGACACTCCATTCAACTGGCGGCCATTAAACGCAAGTACATCTCGACGAGTCCTGATGAAGTCGCCCTTGTCGAAACCTGCGCCAAGTGAGTGAATATTTATTTATTTACTGATAATGCTATTTTACATTACCTTAATTACATTAAAATTCATACTAGTACATTACTTTATTTTACTTATTACTACAATCATACTCGTATTTTTCTATACTTCACTTCCTTCCATACCCATACATGTATTTAGCTTTTCTTTACTTACTTCTAGTCTCATACTAGTATCTTACTATATTTTACTTAGTTTTCATACGCAAACTACTATTTTACAATACTTTATTTACTTGCATGCTCATATTTTTAGGTTATTTGATAAAAACAACGTGTCCGACTGAATTTTCATAATAGACTTATCTTAATTTGCAAACAGAATTTTTTAAATACTGCAACCTCATATACCTTTCCGTAAATATTAAAATAATATGTAATTTCTTTAAAATTGAAATGAAAGTTCAACTTATTCGGAAAAAAATGTTGCTAAAAGTTCTCTAATGCACATTTTTTAATCGAATGTGAAGCGGACAGTTACTTAAATAAAGGTTAAATTTTCCGTAGACTGTATGCATTCTTTGAGCAAACTTTCGAATCGACGAAGCAGGTGTTAAGGAAAGCTTTGACAGATTAATTAATGCAGTGCAAGCATTAAATCTCATTTAAAAATGATTAACCTTTTCTTATCAAATCTGCCAGTGGAATTACTTCATTTGACAGCTGGGACTATTGCATTAGAGTCAATCAATGAGTAAGACTTAAGTAATGGACGTAATAATGAGGTAATGTACGGTACGTAATGGACGTAATTGAGTAATTTTTTACTTAATAAGTACTGAAGCATATTATACTACCTCCTAATTACGCAGGTACGGTATTGTTCTACTGGGTACGCAGGAAGGTACGGTGTCCGTGGACGTGCTGGGGAAGAAAAAGACGTACAAACTCAAGCACATCTTCCATTTCCGTTCTGGTGAAAATTAGCTTGTAAATATGCAAATAATTAATATCTTGTAAGCTTTTGAAAATATTAAATTCATGTATGTTGATAATATTATGGAATTTGCATTATTCACGATTTTATGATAAGTTTATAATAGAAAATATCATGTAATATCATTTCAGCAGAAGCGTACAATGTATATGCATTGAGTAATTTATTTTTATTAAAATAAAATAATAAAAAATTTAGATAAAAATTGTTCGTACTTAACTGTGCACGACATTATAACGTATTCAGGGACTTAACAATCATTGCAATCATTTCGTGCCGACGGATAGATGAAACAGAACAAATTTGTCGAGTCACTGCTGCTCAAAATTTGGGACGTTTTTTGAATTAATTTCAAAGTCTTTATTCTTTTCTTTTCTATATTAACTATAGAGAAGAAACGTTAATGGCAAACGTTAATAAAAATATCCTTGGATACTATAACTGATTATGGCTAAAAAACTCATTCAAAATTGATCACGATTAAGAAATGAACTTCTTCAATCTGAAATGTTTATTACGTTTTATTGTTTAGACCACAATAGCCATAAATTTACTGGCAAACTTCATCAATCGCAAATATTAATGTTGCTGTATTATGCATCGAAAATTAAAGTATTATTGTTACCTAAACACGAGAATTTCTGTGTGCAGAGCGGCAGAGAATGTCAGTGTGCGTACAGGCTGAGTCAGGCGACACGTGGCTGCTGAGTAAGGGGGCAGACTCTGCTATTCTGCCGCGCTGCTCTGGCGGGACAAACCTACAGAAAACTAAGGAGCATCTACACAGTTTTGCTGTGGTGAGTTTAGTGGTGAAATGTGGTGAGTTTAGTGGTGAAATATGGTGAGTTTAGTGGTGAAATAAGGTGAGTTAGTGAGGAAATATGGTGAGTTTAGTGATGATATTTGGTGATTTTGGTGATGAAATATGGTGAGTTTAGTGATGAAATATGGTTAGTTTAATGATGACATTTGGTGACTTTGGTGATAAAATATGGTGAGTTTAGTAATGAAGTATGGCGAGTTATGTGATGAAATATGATGAGTTAGTTGATGAAATATGGTGAGTTAGGAGAAGAAATATGGTGAGGAAGGTACTGAAATATGGTGAGTAGGGTGTCGAGATGTGGTGAGTTCTGTTTTAAAAGAAAATGACCATAATGTTTCACAAGCTCAATAATAATGCATAAGCATTATTAGCATAATGTTTAACAAGCTCAATTCTGTGCAATATCTTAATTTGATGAATTGTTCAATTAATAATGAAATAGTGGCCAAATTAGTGTCCTTTCTTCACCACCGTTTACCATTGCTAGAATAGAATCTTTATTCACCTCGTGGATATTAACGTAGTTAATTTTTTAAACAATTTCCATTTATTTCCTTTACATGATAAAATTGTTGGTAGTTAGGTAACATTATTCAAGTTCAACGTTCAAATATTATGATATATGCCTTTGTATTGTTGGGGCTCTCTGAACCACCAACTAGCCTACATGATCGTATAGGTTTATTCATTAATGCACGATAATCAAAACACTTTATTACATAACACTTTTAAATGAACAAATAAACAATAAAGAATAACATCGGCAGATCAACACTAACACTTCATCTTGGATTCTTTGCTTGCGAGCCTAACTCTCCATTTTGGGTGTAATTCTCCGATATGAGGCTAAATTTCCATTTTGAGGCTTTCCTATAAAAGAACCAAATAAAAATAGATAAATAACTGACAGTAAACAAACATTAAAACACATATAAACTCTAAATATTCACAAATCTATCCCGCATCAAATCTATTCACATATATATTTACATATTCACAATCTAACACAGCACATACCTCCGCTCCGGCTTTCCACGACAGAATAATCTAATCACCTCCTCCTTCCGCACTTAGCCTCCCGTAAACTCTAAACTAAAATGACAATTTAAAATTCCGGACTATAAACAAATTATACAATCAATACTCCGATATATAAATAGCAATCATTTCTATCCCTTACAGTATCTACACATATTCACATGTTTTCACTATAATATGTACTTGTAATATCTATTAGTAGTTCAGAGCTGGTGAAATATTATTATAACCGGCACGTTCATGTGAATTTAATGTTTTGAAGAAGAAATTAGAACTCACAATTTAATTAATTTCAGGTCTATAAATTATCTCAAAAACTGATAGTTAATTTCACTTAACTTTTAAGCTCTCACGTCACTGACGACGGCATTGGAAACCTTTCAAAAGTTCTAATCAGTTTTACATTAATTAATAACTTTAAAGTTTCATAAATTGATGATAAATATCTTATAAATATGGCGAGCCTGCAGTCAGAAAAATAAATGCGTCAAAATATCCAAACAGTGGAAAAATTTTCTACCCTCATAACAAGTAGAGGAGATGCGTAGCTTTGATACACCTTTTTGCCGGCCCAAACAGGGTTTGGATGACCCACTTAAGAACAACATGTGCATCACAATTTGGGTTCATACTTTCAAAATTCGCTAAGTGAACGTAAGTACTTACGCTCTATTTTCTTGTCTCTGATTGGTGGATTTTGCTTGAATGGCCGTCAATGATTGGCTGATGAACTTACGATCTCTTAACTTTTTTTGAAGGTATAGGCCGCCGTCTTGTCTATGATTGGTGGATTTTGCTTGAAAGGCCGTCAATGATTGGCTGATTAACATACGATCTCTTAACTTTTTTTTAAGGTATAGACCCTGAACAAAGTATTTAGTTCTGCGAGGGTGTCTGTGCAGGATGGCCTGCGTACGCTGGTCGTGGCCTGCAGGAAGATAACAGAGGCTGAGCTGCAGGCCATATCTCTGGACCTGGCGCAGGCTAACAAGGTCAGACATTTTAATTTCTCTAATAAATGTAATGTAATGTAATTAAAAAATGTAGTGTAAATAAAATTATGTAATACAGTAGGTAATTTTGAGTCATGTGATAATGTTCTTTTTGTGTCATGATGTGATGGATTTTGTGCATCGTTTGATGATAGTTAATGTGTGCCGTTTATTGATGCCTTATTTGAGTTGTGTGATGATAGATATTATGCGTTCTTTGTTTGTTCCGATTCAGTGATAATCGATTTTAGGTCATGAGAAAACTTTATTAGCATTACCATAATATCCATTTTAATTCATTACTTCTAGAATACAATTAATGTTCAACCATTATTGGCTAAGACCATCCTTAATGGCATCATTCCTTATAAATCACTGGTCATTCGTTATCAATTTCATTCCTCGCTCGTTTATAAGATGATTTGAAATCTAATGACTAACAATTAAGTAACAGTTCCCTGGAATATCAATGAAAGTAAATAAAATAATAAACTCTTAATTTCTGATAAGAACATACGGTATTAATGTTAAATTGCCCTGCTGGGAAACTGTGCTGCTTATAGCAAGCTTTATAAAGTCTAATCAAGCCAAGGTCTTTTGCTGCGTCTTTCCCTGGATTTTAATTTGGCTGGAGCAGCGTACACTGAATCTGAACATTCGCAGGGCCTTGACAGGCGCCGTTGTTAATTGAATCTGTCTGGAAGGGGGGATTTTAGCGCCCGGCTAATTCAATTCGAAGGAGAAAACTTTAAGGCGCATAAGCTTGTTAATTTAGCACTGAGATGAAGTCGTCTTAATTGCTTGGATTGGTCGCGGGCTTTTTACCAAATCATGGGATTTGCTCGAAATTCTGAGCTTGTTTGATCGGCTACAGATTCGTCTGAAAATTGTTGCGTCACTCAGCTGCCTGTTGAAACAGGCTGATGCTTGCGTCACTCAGCTGCCTGTTGAAACAGGCTGATGCTTGCATCACTCAGCTGCCTGTTGAAACAGGCTGATGCTTGCGTCGCTCAGCTGCCTGTTGAAACAGGCTGATTGTTGCGTCGCTCAGCTGCCTGTTGAAACAGGCTGATGCTTGCGTCGCTCAGCTGCCTGTTGAACTAGTGGTTTCGCAGTTTTAAGGTCGAAATGAAATCATTCGATGAAAATTATTCAACACCGTAATTACATTTCTTCTTTTGTAATGGAGAACTGAATTAAAATCGAATTAAGACTGGAAACAGTTTATACAAATGATCTTCTTAGAATTATGGATGAAGAAATGGTTGTAAAAAAGCCACTCGTAATCGATATTACTTTATTTTGCCCCGTAGAAACTTGATAGTTCTAGATGGTTATCATGAAAGATGAAGAAATGCTTTACTAAGAGACACGTAATATAATTGCAAGAATTTTGATTAGCATGCAGGAATTAAGAACAAAGTTTAAGCGCCATTTATATCAAAAAATGTCTCTGTCTTTTTATTTGATGCAGCTTCGTTTTTCTGTCGTCGGGGGCCATGAACGATGTTCAAATTTTTTTATAATTTGAAAATTGCACTAAAATTATAATGAGTTGCTTTGAGTCCAGGGATTATTTATAAAAGTTCAGTATTCGAGATTTTAAATTTCGCACTAAATTAGTTCCCGCTAAAAACGTGTCCGTCATCGTTCAATTTTCCAGTTAAGCCTTTGATCTCAGAGGCGCGCTCTCTAAAGGCGTCGCGCATTCTTCACGAACTTCAAAGACAACATGAAGAATAAAAAGATCTTTGTAAATATTTGTGCGCTTACATTAAGGTAAAGACTACTCAACATTTAAACAAATTTGTTGATTTAAAATGGAATATATAAACAAAAATAATTACTGTTTTTCCTGTCTTATATTACAGTTTTCTTGCTTAATATTTGAACAAGAAGGAATAATTATTAACTGGCAATACTTCAATAGAAACGTTAAAAATTGGGTATAAACAACATTTTAAATATTAAATGTTTCAAATACCCTGTTTCCTATTAGAATGTATGTTGTCGAACTTATTTTAATTTCTTTTCGTAATTAGAGTTGCTTATTTATATCCACGTTCTTCGTTGTTACGAATGCAAGCACAGAACGACGCGTACCGTGTAGGTCATTACAGTTAGAAGTTCCTTCCGAATTTGAATATTTTGAATTGTTCAAACTAAGTTTATTTTACTTTGGTCGACCGAAATTACGTACAAGAAAGTATACGCATTTATTTCTATAGTGTAATTTTAAGGCAGAAATAGTAGTAAATGACTTTACTACACTATATAGGTATAGTAAATGACTTTACTACACTATATAGGTAGAGTAAATGACTTTACTGTACTCACGGCAACACAAAACAACACATGACTTATAACACATCCACCGCATGATAGTGATAGTATACAGGATAATATTAGGCTGTATGCTAGTACATACCTGAATCTTGCACAGTTGCAGTGTTCTGTATACTAGCATACTCATACACGCCTGAATACAGTTACAGTATTCTGTATACTAGCATACTCATACACGCCTGAATACAGTTACAGTATTCTGTATACTAGCATACATGTCCACGCCTGAATCTTTCAGAAAATAGTATACAGGATTAGAGTATAATAAATGGGGTAAATCTAAATCTCTCACGCGCATTTTGCTAATAAATCCGTCGTTTCACTGTAAAAAATTTCCAGCTAACTTAACTTATGTATTGCTTAATATCATTAGCATAATTATTTTGACCAAATATCTGAAATAATTGATGACTTAAAAATATTTCCTTTGACAAAAAGGAGGCGCGCGTGTCTGCGTTTTACGACAAGTTAGAAATGCGGCCTACATCAAAAATACGTGTATAATTATAATGATTTCATTGAAGACCAGAGAATTTGTTTTATTCGCAATTTTCTTATTAGTTTTTTCAATATATATTAAAAATTATATTGGAAAAACTAATAAGAAAATTGCGAATAAAACAAATTCTCTGGTCTTCAATGAAACCTGCTTGAAAGAAGAAATTCTGCCAACCTATACTAATTATAATGATGTGCACTTGGATATTTCACAAGCATTTCGCTTACCAATCCTTTCCTTCACTGAAAACATTTCTCCTTCTTCTTCACCTTCAGCATTAATTAACGCCTTTAAAGTATCTTTTCTAACCAATAGGAAGTAGAAGACCGCGAGACGCGCGTGTGTGCGGTGTACGACAAGTTGGTATGCGGCCTACAGCAAAATACGTGCTTAATTATAAATTTATAATCATGTGCACTTGAATCTTTCACAAGCATTTCGTTTAGTATTACTTAATGTCTTTAAAGTATTTCTTCTAACCAATAGGAAGTAGAAGACCGGGAGGCGCGCGTGTCAGCGGTGTACGACAAGTACGAGCGCGGCCTGCGGCTGCTGGGGGCGACGGGCGTGCGGGACGACCTGCAGTCTGACGTCACCGCGACGCTGCGCGACCTCAGGGCTGCCGGTATCAAAGTAGGAATTGTCCCATGATATTGCTACGGGAGATTAAATTGTTACCATTATCCTATGATATTGCTACGGGAGATTAATTTATTGCCATTATCCTATAATATTGCTACGAGAGATTAAATTTATTGTCATTTAACCTGTGATATTACTATGAGATATGAATTTATTGCCATTACTATGATATTGCTTCGGGAGATTAATTTATTGCATTACCCTATGATATTGCTACGGGAGATTAAATTGTTACCATTATCCTATGATATTGCTACGGGAGATTAAATTTATTGTCATTATACTATGATATTGCTACGAGATATAAACTTATTGCTATTATACTATGATATTGCTACGGGAGATTAATTTATTGCCATTATCCTATGATATTGCTACGGGAGATTAATTTATTGCCATTATCCTATGATATTGCTACGGGAGATTAATTTATTGCCATTATCCTATGATATTGCTTCGAGATATGAATTTAATAAACCCAAGGAAATTTATTACTTGATAAATTATGGTACAGAGTTGTAGCACAAGCGATAAGTTTTAAGCAACAGTAAAATTTAATATGTTTCGTATCAATGTAAATGAAATATGATAGAACGAAAATTTTATTGTATACAACGAATTTCCTTACTTTGGCCAACTTGAAAAATTAGCTAAAAAGTAAAATTTTGATTGTTAAAAGATTTAGGATATCACCGGGAAAGAGAAATTTAAGTAGCGTCTAAGAGCTTCCAGTCTACAAATATGTTACCTCGTTGGTTGACACAAGGTAACCCGTTGTCTACGTATGCAGTACCCATCTTCAATGGTATTCGTACCTAATGGCCCGCTATGGTAACGTTGAACACCATCAGTAGTCAAAAGTTGAGACTTTATCATCATACATTAGCCTTATTCAAGGCAGTTCATATCTACAGGCCTATAATAGCGAGTTACGAGAAATATAGTAGTAATAAGAAATAGTATTCGTGAAATATGATGTTATTGGTACCTAAGGTCATACGTTAACGAGAGTTACCGAGTATATAGATTAATTGGTAAGAAAAATATAGATTTATTTAGAAAGATTGATATTAAAGTCACATGAGATGCGTATTACTTATCTCCCTCAGGCCTGGGTGCTTGTGCTACATGAGCTAAGTATCAAGTATCCCTAACTCCCCCAGGTCTGGGTGCTCACAGGAGACAAGCTAGAGACAGCAGTGAACGTGTCGCAGCAGTGCGGACACTTCCATCATCACATGTACGAGCTCACCGTGACGGGGACCACCAGCGCTGCCCACGCACAACTCCTGCTAGACAATGCGCGGTAACCTTTAATTATTGTTTCCAATCAATTTTAATCATAAACAGATCGATTAATATCGGCAGGGTGGCCCAGTGGTTACAGTTCAGAGTACCAAGATTGGCGCAGAGATCCCAGCTCTGTGCGCCAGTTTCTGGTCAGAATCGGCGAGGAGGCCGGGCGGTTAAGCACAGCAGAATTTGAATCAGTGAGTTGTGAGTTCGAGACCGCAACAAGCTGTGAATGTTCTGCGGTGTTAAGAATCGGCGATAGGCCTACGGCCTACTAACGCTGAAACCGCTATATATGTATAATTTGTAATTACAAACAGATTGAATAATTTAATCAACTATAATTATCATAATCAAATCAATTTACAGGCTTCGTTAGCTCTGATCGACAATGTGTGGTATCGAGACTTATTATTCTTAATCAATAATAATCAACCAATAAGCAGATTTATCAATGATGGATTTACTAAATAATATCCCTCTTTTATCTTCAAGTGCTGAGATCGTCGTCATCTCCTTGTCCATCAAATTTTATTCTCCCATTAAATGAAGCAAAATAGTTTTTTTGGGAAGTCTGTTAAATGTGGGTTTGAAATAATTTCTTTTAAACGGAATTAGTGATTATTATTAAAACTTACTAATAGAATCCGGAATGACGTGATCTATTAATAATTAAAATGAAAAAATTATTGATGCAGGATAACGTCGGGCTAAATTGCCTCTAAACTATAACAAAATATTTGAGTGAGACAATACTAAAATAAAAACTCAGTGATGACTTAACGAGGATTCAAACAGCAATTTCTGCGCAATGAGAATCCTAATTAATTACTTTTTTTAATTCAAATAATATAATTTTTATCAGTGTTTATTGCAACAACGTTCCACTCAATAATTTATTTATCGCAAATTATAACGCGATACGATATTTAAGTAAATAGTAGCCAATGAGGTTAATAGAGTCATTCTTATTAACAACCCGCAAACTCTCAAAATTTTTAGAAGCTTCTAAGTACACAAGATATCGCAAAAATACAAGAATTTACCATTATCCTGTTTTTAGAGGGGTCTCCCCTCGCGGCAGTCTCCCCCTTCCCTCGATAATGGCAATTTAGTCGAATTACCGACAAACAAACCGCGCCTCGAACACCGCGTCAAAACATCCTTATTATTTCTTAAGAAAATCAATGAACAAAATCAATGGAGACCCCAAGCGAGAAAACAAGCGTTAGGCCCTCGTCCCCCCCCCCCTACCTCATCTTATTTGTAGTTCCCACCCTTAGTTGTAGTTAAAAAATAATTACAGTCGGTCTACCAAAGCCGATAATAACTTGAAATGATACTCACAAATATTATATTATACCTTGGCCTCATAAGAATAAATATGTTAGTAAAAGAAATGCTTATTTTACCAATTCTCAAAAGTTGTATTTTACAGACACTAGTTACTTAACAACAGTCGTGTTTCATCAATATGCATGTTTTATCGACACTCGTGTTTTACCAACACTCGTGTTTACCAACACTCGTGTTTACCAACACTCGTGTTTACCAACACTCGTGTTTAGTGTTTACCAACACTCGTGTTTACCAACACTCGTGTTTACCAACACTCGTGTTTACCAACACTCGTGTTTACCAACACTCGTGTTTACCAACACTAGTGTTTACCAACACTCGTGTTTACTAACACTCGTGTTTACCAACACTCGTGCTTACCAACACTCGTGTTCATGTTTACCAACACTCATGTTTTACAGACGTCCATATTTTATTGGTGGTCATGAAGCAGCTGAGCTCGTAAAAAATATCGACCGCGTTTTATCGACCAGAAATTAGCAGAAACTCGTCTTCTCCATCAAAATTTCTTCATATTTCGATTTTCTATTTCGACCAAAGCGCCAAAACAAGCCAAGCAAAAACTCCAATAAGAATTTTTCGGCTTCGTAATTAATCTGGACTGATGAACGGCGAAGCGCGTCAGTCGGCGACCATGACTGATGATCAGACATTTCTTTGTGTTTGTTCTTGTTTGTGCGTCCTCAGTGACGTTTGATTTTGTGTGTTTGTGTATGTTTGTCTGTGTTTGTTGGTCCACTGTGATATTCGTTTTTGTATATATAGTATTAGGTGGCAGAATAAGCTTGTTTAAACACGAGTTTTTAATGAACAGAGAATTCATTGATTTTAATTTTCATGGTCAAACAATATCCTTCAGATGACGTTTGTTTATCAAAATGCAGGTTTAAGGAAGTAATTTTAATTTATTAAGAACATTTCAAATGATACAAAAAACCTTCGAGTTTTATGGGGCATTGAATACAGAAATTTCAGCGGAAATAAGTACATGATACACTTAAATATGATACAACACAAAAATTTGTTACCGTGAAAATAACTCCAAAACAATCTCAAAGTTCAGAATATACGGTGGTTGTGAGATAGATGCTGTAGTCCAATCCGTAGAGATGAGGGCTTCACTTATCGCGGGTCGGATGGTGTCTGGGCGCTGCATGATCGAAGACGATGCTGGTGGGTTCCTCCAGCACAGTGCGAGTGACAGTCTTAGAATAGAATAGAATAGAAGTGTCGGCACTGAAGAAATAGGCCCATGGCCTGTTGCCGATTCTTGTTCATAGAATATAATAGAAGTGTCGGCACTGAAGAAATAGGCCCATGGCCTGTTGCCGATTCTTGAACTTTTCGTGACTTGATTCACAAGGGATCCGGCCTTTGGAACCCGATCTTTCCATAGCTGACGATTGATTGAGATAGCTTGTCTTGTTGAGTTGGACGTTGTCAAGGGTGTCACAGAGCCTGCTGAATTCATTGCTGATCTTGAGATGAATTTGCTCGAGTGAAATAATTTGCGACACTTCTAATATGATATCAAAGTTTCCAAATTTCTTATTTCTGAGGTCACTGTTGGCTAGTGTGGTTTTTAACGGAATTAGTTCAGCTCTGTGTCTCAGAGTTATCATTTCGTCTCTCGCTGCCTGGTCATGCTTGCAGAAATTAGCATTAGATGGCAGGATTAATTTGTTTAATTAAACACGGGTTGTTCATGAGTCACCCGTGAGACTTGAGAATGTTTTGGAGTTATTTCACAGTTTCCAAAATTTTTGTGTTGCATGATATTTACATGAATCATCTAATTATCTCCACAAAAATTTCGTAAACTGTATTTATGCATGTTTTTTAACGTTTGTGCGTCTTCTATGACGTTCGTTTTTTGTGTACTGTGTGTGATTGTCTACGTTTGTGAGGAGTAATATACGTTTGTTTCTTGCTTGAGGTTGTTTGTGCTTATTTTTTATTTGGCTGTGTTTGAATTTCTTCAGTTGTGTTCGTTCTTGGAATATTTTGTATTTGCGAGTTCTAATTTCCGCTTGTTTTCTTTTTGCGACAGTTTGTGGATATTTTTTTATATGGTTGTGTTATTAATTCCTTGTATTGTGTATGTTTGATTGTGTTTACCTATGTTTGTACGTATTTGTTTCCTCTACCACGTGTCTGTGAGATAAAGTTTGAATTTCATTTGGTTATAAAATTAAGATCGTGCTTGTTTTGGTGCTTAGAAGTTTGTCAGTGTTTGAGGGAGCTTTTGTTGCTCCAAGAGTTTCTCCCTGTTTGTTCGGGAACTTGGCGTCCGTTGTAATGCAAACAGGATTGTGGTACAAACAGGAATTCATTAAAAACAGGAATATACTACAACAAGAATGTAGTACAAACAGCCCAGGAATGTATTAAAAACAGGAATATATTATAAACAGAAATGTAGTACAAGTATAGGAATGCAGTACAAACAGGAGTATAAAAGAAATAGGAATGTAGTATAAAGAGGAATACGTATAAACAGGAATGTAATACAAACACAGTAATGTATGGCAAACAGAGGAATGTAGTACAGACAGGAATATATAAGAATATTATTCAACAAATGAGACTTGCATTGAGAATTCCTAATCATGCAAGTGAGGAAATACGAGTAGGCCTAATTTGATGAATTCGCTACTTATTTGGAGGAAAATTAATTTGCTTGTATTTAAAATGGAATTTTCCCATAAATGATGAAGTTTGATTGCTAAGTATTCTGAAGAATAACGAATGAATGAATTAGACTTTGACTTAGGCTGGTGCTCTAATATCTTTTCTGACGAGATTTTTTAAAACTAAAAGTGTCGAAAGTAGCTCAGTTTCACATGAGCTTTTTCTTATCGTTCAGACGTCGCAGAAAACTGAATAATTTCGAGTGTAAACTAAAATATCATTTACACATGAAGCTCATGGCTAGATAAGTTTGCTGCTTCATAGCGATTATTTGACATTTTTACAAATATAGGCCAATGTTTAGCATTTTACCCTGGGCCCATACTTTCAAAAAAAGTTCAGGTCCGTAAGGTCTTGCACATCAACATTAATTGTCCGCAACACCGACTTTATCGTCCACATTTGAGAATTTATTTTGAAGTATTTTCCGGTAATTAAATTGAAAATATCTCGTGTATTTTTCAGGCAGGAAAGTGCAATGTTCTTTGGACGAGAGAAGAGGTTGATCGTAGACGGAGTTTCCCTCGTCCATCTTCTCACGAAGGATCACATTAGAGCGTTAGTCTCATCTGTTGATAATTTCACATTAACGGGCACTACAATAACTACGTTAAGTGTAGTGAAGCCACTCTTCCAAATAAGTATTTATAATGTCTACATACTGAGTATAAATAGGTAGCGAGTCAAGATTTTGTACCGAGAGTTTAATTATTGAATTTTCTTCAGGTTCCGCGATGTGGCCATGCGGTGTGAAGCTGTTCTGTGCTGCCGCTTGTCTCCTAAACAGAAAGCCGAGGTGTGACACGATCATTATATTTTAATTATACTATCTTAACGATAATTATATTCAAGAAGAATTTTTGGGTAAATAACGTTCAAAATTACATGCACTTCAATCCATCGCCTGAATTAGTTCCTAACTTTTCGTTTCTAGTCATTAAAATATGATATCATCATTCTATATCATTTCAATTTTCGTTAATATTTAACTGAACCTATTGTTTTTTCTACATTATCACCCCATAATCCCCATTAAATTGATCACAATTTCCTAGGTCGTGCGCATGGTGAAGACCTCCTACAGGAGACCAATTACGGCCGCCATCGGGGATGGTGCTAACGACGTATCCATGATACAGGAGGCACACGTCGGCATCGGTAACTCAATTAAATTGTGGCATGTTCATGCTCGGAGACACAGTTCATGCCATCATTTAATGTTCACACAGTTCATGTTATTTGTTATCACAGTTCATGTTATCACAGTTCATGATATCACAGTTCATGCTATCACAGTTCATGATATCACAGTTCATGATATCACAGTTCATGAATTTCATGATATCACAGTTCATGTTATCACAGTTAGTTCATGATATCACAGTTCATGATATCACAGTTCATGTTATCACAGTTCATGATATCACACTTCCTGATAGGATCGATTACAGTAACAAACTGATGAGCCTTTTGCCACATAAGGGTGAAATGTGCTTCGCTATTTGAACAACGTCTCACTCATTTTAATGAGTGTTTTTCCTGTATATCATAACGGTTGACGATGACCTTACACTTATGGAGACATACGCAGTTAGAAAACACAGTTAACTGTTGTATGTTTGGTAAGTCTAGAACCTAACTTTATATGTTGCAGGTATCATGGGTTCTGAAGGCAGGCAAGCGGTTTTGTGTTCAGACTTCGGGTTCTCGCGGTTCAAGTACCTGCGTAAAGCCCTGCTGGTACACGGCCACTGGTACTACGTACGCGTCACACTCCTGGTACATTACTCCTTCTACAAGAACGTAGCATTCATCACCCCGCAGCTCTTCTACGCCTTCTACAGCGCTCTGTCAACTCAAGTATCTCCTGCCATAATATTACAAACATGTTGTGTATACGGGGTATGTATATGAGGTATGTATACGGGGTATGTATACGGGGTATGTAAACGGGATATGTAGACGGGATATGTGTACGAGATGTGTATACGGGATATGTACACGGGATATGTGTACGGGATATGTATACGGGATATGTGAACGGGATATGTATTCGTGATATGCACATGGGATATGTACACGGGTATGTACACGGGATATGTACACGGGATATGTATACGGGATATGTCTATTTTGTACTTTCACTGTCACATCGCCAGTTGGTATCTGGCGCTGTACAACCTAACGCTGTCCACTACAATCCCCGCAGACGGTGTATGCCAGCTGGTATCTGACGCTGTACACTACACTCCCTACAGACGGTATACGCCAGCTGGTATCTGACGCTGTACACTACACTCCCTACAGACGGTATACGCCAGTCGGTATCTGACGCTGTACACTACACTACCTACAGACGGTATACGCCAGCTGGTATCTGACGCCTGTCTCTTATACACATCTAGATGTGTATAAGAGACAGACCTAACGCTGTACAACCTAACGCTGTCTACTACAATCCCCGCAGACGGTATACGCCAGCTGGTATCTGACGCTGTACAACCTAACGCTGTACACTACACTACCTACAGACGGTGTACGCCAGCTGGTATCTGACGCTGTACAACCTGACGTTCGCTGGTCTGCCCATCCTGGTCTACGGGCTGCTGGAGCAGAACTACTCGCAGCAGCAGCTGCTGATGCGGCCGCGCCTCTACAACAGCATTAGCAGGGACGCTCGGATGACCTGGGGCGCCTTCCTGTTGTGGCTGGTGCTAGGTGGGTGCTGGGAGGTGCTGGGAGGTGCTAGGTGGGTGCTGGGAGCTGCTAGGTGGGCATTAGTTGCATGATAGGTCCAATGAAGTAATAGGCGGGCCACCGGTGAATGATACGAGGTGAGAGCGTAAAATAAGTTCCACGGTCTGCCGATGGCGCTAGGATCGTTTTCTATGCGCGGCTATGGCAACACAGGCAGGTTGTTTGATTCCCCAACTCCAATCCCTTACCAAGCCAGCGTCCCTGCGACGCTTGGTCTTGCTCCAGCAGGCGTCAGCGATGGAGCTTCCTCTTGCGTCTTCCGCCAGCTGCGAGTTGCGGTCTGTTACTTGTTCCCTGCCGCTCAGGCGAAATAGGCGATGGAAATTCACGTAAAACTTCGTCAAGTGTATAGGGAAAAGTGTATGAGCTCCGGGATGGTGGGCAGATCCAAGCGTTGCAGGGAGGCTGGCTTGGTATGGGATTGGAGTTGAGGAATCAAACACCCTGCCTCTGTTGCCCAGCCGCGCATATAAACGATCCTAGCGCCAGCGGCAGCCCGTGGAACTTATTTTACGCACTCGCCTCGAAGAATGGGTACTCGGTAGTTACGTAACGATCGTTAATCGTAAGTAAATTGTGTAGGTTGGAAATATACAAGAGTTGGACAGAATAAGGAAAGCCCCTAACATTTCGAGATCTGTAGTGTTTGAATATAATATCCTAGTGTATAATCTCCTAGCTGAGAGATATTATAATTCCTTTGAGATTATTAGGTGTAAATCTGTCTTTTGTCACATTGTTAATACCGTAAATATTCACGATGCTAGTGAACTCTGGCTGATAGTCGTAACAAGTAAACTAAAATAAAAATAATCATCATTGTAAGCCAGTTAACAATGGCCAGTTTTGATATTTATAGATCCGATAGTTTTAAGATTTTATAATAACAGTTATTTTGTGTGATCATAGTTGACTCTAAAACAAAACTAAGGAACCAAGCGCGATGGGAGCAGGTATATAAGATGGGAGCAAATTAGATTGCTAAGTAACGTTCTACAGCCTCAAAACCACTCATTCCATGAACGACAGGATATCTTATGGTATAACCTATTTCAATGGTTCATATCAAACTTTATTAGTAGTATCTATGGTAAAATACTATCCATATATCAACCATTGACTACTGAACGTTGCTTGTAGCGCTGTGGCACGCTGCCGTGATGTACTATGGCCTGTTGATTACCGTGTATCCTGGAGACACACCGGTCACGGTATCGGGACAGACACTGGGCATGGACCCTTATGGTACTATGCTGGTTACCATGTGCGTCATAGTCGTCAACATGAAGGTAATGTATGTCTCAATCTGTTATGACGCTGTTACACTGTTAGAAAAATGACCGTTAACGGTATTACCGGCATTTCAGTGGCCGGTTGGCACGTGAAAAGAAACACCGTTTCACCGTTTTTATTCCAATTTAACACCAGAATTCCGTAAAACATCGGATAAAAACGGCAAAACAGTTTATTTTCATGGGGCGACCGGCCACTAGGATGCCGGTGGGACCGTTTTTTCATCGTTTTTTCTAACAGTGTATAGTCATCAACATGAAAATAGTTTATACCGCTGTACTCTGCCGTGTATTTTATTGTCGTGAACATTATGATCCTAAGTGCATAGTTTACTGTTATTTTCTTCTATTGATGTGATAAACATGTATTGAGTAAGTAAAATAGTCATTGAACATTCAGATTGACAATTTTCAAATATTAATTAGTATATACTAGATATAATCGGTATCCAGTTATAATTGATAATAGTATATGTTGAATAAATAATTACAACTTGTAACTTTAAAATATTGTTCACTAGCTGCTACTAGAAGCCTACCACCTAGACATCCTCCTTGTTGGTTCCTTCATCATCACTCTCGTGGGCTACGTCATCACACTCGCCATCTACACCTTCCCTTTCCCGTGGGTAACATCATTGCTTACGTTATCTTAATGTTCAGTGTGATGACACATGCACTATACAATTGTGATTGTAATATGGGGAGGCTTGGTGGAAGAGGTAGGTAATGTGGGGGAGGCTTGGTGGAAGAGGTAGGTAATGTGGGGGAGGCTTCGTGGAAGAGGAAGGTAATGAGGGGAGGCTTGGTGGAAGAGGTAGGTAATGTGGGGGGAGGCTTGGTGGAAGCACACATTACCTACCCCTTGGTGGAAGGGGTAGGTAATGTGAGGGAGGCTTGGTGGAAGAGGTGGGTAATGTGAGGGAGGCTTGGTGGAAGAGGTAGGTAATGGGGGGAGGCTTGGTGGAAGAGGTAGGTAATGTGAGGGAGGCTTGATGGAAGAGGTAGGTAATGTGGGGGAGGCTTGGTGGAAGAGGTAGGTAATGTGGGGGAGGCTTGGTGGAAGAGGTAGGTAATGTGGGGGAGGCTTGGTTGAAGAAGCTGGTTATGTAGAGAAGGTTTGGTGGAAGAGGCTGGTTATGTAGAGAAGGCTTGGTGGAAGAGGAAGGTTATTTAGAGAAGGCTTGGTGGAAGAGGAAGGTTATTTAGAGAAGGTTTGGTGGAAGATGTAGGTAAGGTGAAGATCACTCAGAGAAATTAGTAGATGAAGATCTTAAATAGAGATGAACTATATGCCCCTGAGTGGGTCATCCTAATCCAGTTTGTAATGTCAAAAGGAACGCATCAGCGTAACGTTCGCATTATGTTTATGCTGTGGTAAAAAGTGTGTAACTATTTCAACAATATGACCAATTCATTTTTTTCTTAGGTAAAGGCTTGGTAAAGAAGATATGTAATTTATTTGAGGAACGTTTTATATGCGAATAATATGTTAATTTGCGTTGAAAGTTAATAATACATTGATAAGGTGGAAACTATAGATCTGTTTCAGTTAATGACCAGAGCATAAAAAATCTCACCTCATGTCACATTATATTCACAGCCTTTTATTCTTTACCGTAAAATTTTCGTATTTAGGGAGTTGCTCGCTTTCAAAATTGATAATAAGATTAGGATTTTAAATTTGTTTGTAAGCGTTGAATCAATTTTCTTATCAATCATTTAATCTCCCGGTGCAATTTTATCTCCAGTTATGTAAAATTTTTGTATTGTTCCCCCCAACAAAATTTATTGATGAAAATTGTCATATAATGCTGATTCTTCTTCTTAATTGCAATCTAACTTCCTTAAATTAATTATCATAGTATGGTGATTAGCACCACAGCACGAGCCTGGTGTGTGAAACATCACACATCAATTGCTAAATATTACTTATCAAGTTATCATAGTATGGTGACTATCACCACAGCACGAGCCTAGTGTGTTAAACATAAACATCACACATCAATCACTAAACATTACATATCATAGTATGGTGATTATGACCACAGCACGAGCCTAGTGTGTTAATCATCACACATCAATCACTAAACATTACATATCATAGTATGGTGATTATGACCACAGCACGAGCCGAGTGTGTGGTGACATGCTGCTCATAGTGAAGTCACCATGTCTGCTCTTCACCATCCTGCTGCTGTGTGTAGTGTCACTACTGCCTGACGCCACCATACTCTCCTACAAGGCGGTCAGTCTCACCATTATTCATAAAACAACCATGACTATACATGACTAAAAAAATTATATTTATGTATAATTTTAATACATACACTTCTGTTATTATCAAAATGATCTTAGCCGAGGTATGCGTGCATTATTCACATACGTGTATTATCTTTAGTTAAACCTGAGCATTTTGAAATTCATGTTCCGATTGTAATGGTCATAATTCAGTATACCGATAGCACTATTATTATCACTTGTGTTAAGTTACTATACCTAATCATTACTCGATTAATTGATAAGAACATTGAAAATTTTATCAGAAGAATTATTCTGTCTTCTTTTAATTTCATAGACAATCGTCGTTATAATAATATAATTAGCATGTATATGTATAAGTTGTTCTTACAGATACATAAACTGCACTTGTTTATCGTAATATGTTAACTGTACATACGAATTGAGTATGTTTTAGTTCCAAACAATAATTATGACTTTCATTTGAATTGGTCTATTTTACATGTCAATTGTACATTATGCCCGAGAAATGTTAACCATTCATTTTAATTTTTTACATGATTTTACGAGCAGATGTTGCGGGCTCGAAATCAACGGCGCGATACGGCGATTACAGACGAACAACATCAACAGTTTTCATAGCATATCGTATTGTATGACAGTATATAATAATAACGTTCAAACTAACAATTCTAATTCAAAGCGCAGTGGCCAGAACGCAGATGGCAACAATTACAATGTTGAGATTAACAATCACGAGATTGAGATAAGGAATCATGACGTCGAAAGCATCAATCACAACATCGTGAGTTGCAATCGCGATGTAGAAATTTACTGTTTTTAAGTCAAGATGTCAATCTTGATGTCGTGTGCATCAATCAGGACACAGTGCAGGAACCACGGCGTTGGTCTTCGCAATTACAGAGTCAAGGTTAGCAATCATCACGTCGTGGAAAGCAATCAAATTTTCTCTAGTAGTATTGGCGGTGCAACAAGCAACAATCATTACGCAGGTGACTGCAATCACCACAAGGAAATAAGAAAGTACAAAATCTGGTTAGCAATCTCCATGCTAATCAGCGGAAGCAATCACCAACTTGCGTGGGTATATTCACTGATTTTACTACTACACTACAGGTTGATAGGTTAGTACAGGTTACTACAGGTTGATTACACCAAAGAATTTTTATCATGAAGAAAGAAGTTTTGGTCCTTGGGAGATTGGTTAAAGTTGTTATTTCACTATTTATAAGCTTATAATATAGCAGATAGCTCTCTGTATATAAGTTGTTGTTTGTTATTTATTTTTCTCGATTGTCAACCAACCAATGATAACATTGTTATTAATTAGTTTCTAAAGAATTTTAGCCGCTCATGATAATTAAATTCATACATGATATATTAGATCAATAATGCATGAAACAGAAATTTTCTCCTATTTTCTAGTGTTTTTCCTATTTGAATCACTTGTAAAATAGGGATTACATGAAGTTATGTTTTCATATTCATTGTACTGAATCCCTTTGACATGATTATTATTAATCGTGTCTGCTTTGATATTGTTGAGCCAGCAGTCGAAAATAATTAAATTAGATTATATTTTATGCAAAGCAAAAAGTTTCCAAAGTTCAGCTTTGATATCGTGTTGAAGAAAGATAATGGATAAGTGAATTGAGATATTAATATTTTAATATTTCTTTCATTATTGATATTATATTCAAATATACTCTCTGTTATTCCTTCGTAGTACAAATATTTTAAAACACTTTTAGGATCAATTTTCACCCGTGACGCACCCACCTAGCTCCTTATCCGTTTCCACCCGTTTACCCCCGTGACACCCGTTAAGAACAATTCATCCGTTTCCACCCGTTTACACCCGTGACATACCCGTTTACACCCGTGACTCACCCGTTTACACCCGTGACACACTCGTTTACACCCGTGACACACCCGTTTACACCCGTGACACACCCGTTTACACCCGTGACACACTCGTTTACACCCGTGACACACCCGTTTACACCCGTGACACACCCGTTTACACCCGTGACACACTCGTTTACACCCGTGACACACCCGTTTACACCCGTGACACACCCGTTTAGGACAACTCATCCGTTTCTACCCTTTTAAACCCGTTTACACCCGTTTACACCCGTTTACACCCGTGTCACAGTGAAGTTTTCCTAAAAAAGTTTTAACTGGAAAAGTTATTTTCTTATCCTATGAGCGCGAGAGCTGTCAAGTGAACGCCGATGGCTGAACAGAAATTAACTTGTTTATTCAGGTGAATAGTTCAGCCCTTGCCTCATGCGGGACACGAGTAATATGATTCAAAACTTGGATCGATCATTTGAGTTGATTAGAGTGATCATTAAAGACGATCATTCAAGTCGATCATTTAAATCTATCATTCGTGGGTATGATGTCGGTTATATTTATGAGTTTACTGTTTCATATTTATTGCAGTTTAAGAATTACTTCTCGCTCCTAGAGCATTAAAAACTCGTTAATATTGGCAGCGCATATCTGGCCCTAGACAGCCAATTAGGGGCTTTTTTGAAGGCACTCTATAAGAATTGATCGCGACAAATTAAGTGCATGAGGGTCCAAATAAAACACTTTTACACTTGAAATTAAAATGGCGAAAATCAAGTTCACATCCCATGTTAACGAAATCACTGCTCCAGGAATGATAATATTGTAAGTAAATTCATAACATGAAATTGATCACTATTGAAACCTCACTCTAAACGATTAAAGCAAAGAATTGAATAAATCACTTCAAAATTACAAATCAGTGATCGCTGTTCGACTTTCCTACTTAAATTGACGTGGAGACGTTCATCCGTAACGAGAGCCCATGTAGTACCGTTGCTATGCCGAGACCGTATCGATCGCTAAAGGTTTATGCTGTAATAAATTTCCAAGTAGCCATAACGTTGTTTTACTTGTAGAGCCGCAATCTCAAAAGATTTTTAAAATTCCGCATTGCCGTAGATTTATAGGCGGGCTCATTTTGAAATGGCAGCGATGGTTTCCACTTTAGTGACGTTGCTGCTAGCTCGTGGCTGAACTGCTGCTAGTATATCCGACCGAACTTTCAGCGTTACTTGAATGGATTGTCGGCGGTGTAATCGCTCATCTTCTGGTTTCTTCTGCAGCTTTCTTGTGATAATTATTGAATAACGACCGCTGCGGCCGTTGCGGAGTTGCTGGCCGTACAGAAATATAGCGACGATGAGGCTGTCACTTGTGTATTGTAGAATGTAGATGCTCTAGCAGGAATAGCAGCTGTATCGACGAGTTGAAGTTTCTCGTGTTAGGCGGCCATATATAGCACCAACTGACTGATTATATATTTCTACCTGAGGACAGGAATTCGTTGACTATATAAGCGCGTGAATGATAAGTAAGACACCATCTCTCTAGAGAACATATCTTGATCCGGAGTGGATACATGAAGGTTATATTAGAGGTACAAGGCTAAGACGTCGACCGTTAGTTACATGGCGACGCGCTAGTTTGTTACTGGGGGCCTTACTAAGGTTCCCAGCCCTTATATAGAATCACGACTTCTGTCCACTACTGAGGTTTTGATCGCGTGATGTTATCCATTCTGACTCAATCAGGGTCAGTACTTTTCCATCAATCTCTATCACGTCTAGTGAATATCACGTCTCAATTACAGATGATCAAATCTTAGAATATAATTATAAAGAATGGAATGAGACGTTCTATTGACATCGGACACTCGCGACTGTTAATGTTCGAAAAAAAGCGTTATTAAGCGATGGCCTCCCGGTCGCGGCCGTCACAATGTCCGCATTTTGCAAACTGTGTTCCGTGACCTCCAAAGAACCAAGAACCAAGAATCGCTCCTTGTATACGTCGCCAGCGCGCACAGTTTGCCTTTGCCCTCCAAAGGGACGCCGAATCCCTCAAAAGATGAAATTTCCCTCGTAATGGTTGCCTACGTTCAACGTAAACAATGGTCGGTCTCTAGAACAATTGTGTCTCACACACACTTCACTGTGTGTGTGAGACACACCCTTAGCCTTCTCAACACACAATCTTTTCATGTAATTCACAGCGTAAGTAATTAATAATTCGCCCTGGAACTACGTTCTATACATGCACTTGTCGGCCGTTCGACTCGATCTTTTACGTGGATCATTTGATTTAATCGTTTGTGTCGCGATCAATAGCGTCGATCAACTGAGTCGAATCACGCCGTTCATTTGCTTACAGTATTTTCAACAATCAATTGCATTGGTCATTTATTTTGATCGTTTGATCTTTAACGATCGAGCGTCGATCGTTCAAGTCGGTTATTTACTGCGATCATTTGTGTCGATTATTGGCGTCGATCGGTTGAGTTGATCATTTGTGTTGATCATTTGAGTCGATCATTCATGTTGATCATCTGAGTCAGCCATTTGTTCGATCAATAAATCCATTAGCAACTGGCAAGATCTTTCAGTCGATAATGCAGTGATTGGTGTAAAGTACATCATTAATCTCATGCACCATCCCATCATTTTAGCACCTTTCGTCATCCAATATAAGCGGCCAATCTTCCCAATTGCGTCTACAAAACAGTCTATCTTATCGGTGGCCAAACAACGGCCATCGATATCTCACCAATAACTCAGCTATGATTCTCTAAGTTGATTAAGTGATACTCACCCTGTCTTGACTTGAACAAAATTTATCGGAGATTTTAGCGCGTACTTCAGTGGCCGCTCTTTATACGACCATGGGCCTCCGGTAAACCACCTCAAATTATTATTGTTCATTTGTGAATACATTAGCAGCATTTGAAGCCAGCCTTATCATTGATATTGAACTCGTCAATAATTCTGGTCTTAAGTTTTTGTCGGTAAGTAGTGAAGCGACTTTAAAGTGAACTTTAGGCTACGTTTAAATGAGACTTTTCGAGAATATCTCTTCATTTCTCGGTAATGCTGGTCACGTGTAGTGCATAAAATCGTTGTTCGAACGCACCAAGCCAATACACATGAACGTTTGATGTCGAACAACTAGAATAGCATTTTCCGGATTCCTTTTTAACGTAGAGCTTGAATGATTTACTTAATCATTTAAAGTACACGCACGACCTGCAAAGCAGTCTGTTAAGAAATGAATGATATGCATGCACTTAAGCCGAAGTGAAAAATACCACGTGAGGAGTTTGAAATTTTTTTTACTCTCTTTCATTCGATGCGCATAAAAAATTTCACATGGTCTTATTGAAATTATATCACGAATATAAATATATCATTTGATATATATATGTATATCTTGTTCAAAATAAATCACCAAAATTTTTATTACAATTGATTTAGACTCGGTAATGTTGTGAAAATCATGCTAAAGTAGTATTTGATATACAAGAATTACCGAAAATTACACAGTGAAGTTTGCTGCAGTTCGCTGTCAAATTTAAATAAATTGTGGTGCCTTGGAGTTGAATTAACTTAACGACTTCTCGGTTGATGGAAGGGGTTAATAAACACCCTTCACTAATGCACCCTTCACTAATGCACCCTTCACTAATGAATGCAGTGATTGGTGTAAAGTACATCATAAATTATGATGAACCATCCCATCATTTTGGCTTCTTTTGCCGTCCACTATAAGCGGCCAATCTTCCCAATTGCGTCTACAAAACAGTCTATCTTATCGGTGGCCAAATAACGGCCATCGATATCTCACCAATAACTCAGCTATGATTCTTTAGGTTGTTTAAGTGATACTCACCCTGTCTTGACGTAAATATAATTTATCGGAGATTTTAACACGCATTTCAGTACTCATACGACCATGGGCCTCTGGTGAAGCACCTTAAGTTATTATTGTTAATTTTTGGATACATTAGCAGCATATGAAGCCAGTCTTGTCGTTGATATTGAACTCGTCAATAATTCAGGTTTTAAATTTTTGTCGATAAGTAATGAAGCGACTTTAGAGTGAACTTTAGGCGGCGTTCAAATGAGGCTCTTTGAATGCTGGACAGTTAGAAAAATTACCGTTAACGGTATTACCGGCGTTTCAGTGGCCGGTCGGCACGTTAAAAGAAACACCGTGTCGCCGTTTTTATTGTAATTTAACACTAGAAATCCGTAAAACATCTGATAAAAACGGCGAAACAGCTTATTTTCACGGGACGACCGGCCACTAGAAGCTAGATCGTTTTTTCGCCGTTTTTCTAGAACCGTTTTTTTCGAACTAGAACCGTTTTTTCGCCGTTTTTTCTAACAGTGTGGTCACGTGTAATGATTTAACTCGTTGTTCAAACTCTTCAAGCTAATACCCATGAACGTTTGATGTCGAACAACAAGAACTGCATTTTCCAAATTCCTTTTTAACGTAGACCTTGAATGATTGACTTAATCATTTAAATTGCACGCATGAACTACAGGGCAATCTGTTAATAAATGAATGATATGTATGCAGTTAAGCCGCAGTGAAAAATACCACGTGAGAAGTTTGAAAATTTTTTCCTTTCTTCTTTTCGTTGAGCAGAAAAACTGTCAATGGATCTTATTCAAATTACATATCATGAAAGTCATTGAAATCAAAAATTTTTAATACAACTGATTTAGAATCGAGTAATGCTGTGGAAATAATGCAAAAGTTGTATTTGAAATACAAGAATTACCGAAAATTACACAGTGAAGTTTGCTGCAGTTCGATGTCATATTTGGATAAATTGTGGTGCCTTGGAGTTGAATTACCTTAACGACTTCTTTCTTGATGGAAGGGGTTAATAAACACCCTTCACTAATGCACCCTTCACTAATGCACCCTTCACTAATGTACCCTTCACTAATGCACCCTTCACTAATGCACCCTTCACTAATGCACCCTTCACTAATGCAC